GTATGCGAGTAATATGCGGCAATTCGCATACCCCATCGCATAACTGAAATAACTGAAAGATAAAAGAAATAAAAAAATAAATAAAAAATACACTTTCGAGTAGAAGTGCGAAGGGGCTATGCTAGCAATATGCGGTAATTCGCATACCGCCTCGCATAACTAAAAGATGAAAGAAATACGAAAAAAAACTTATTATGCACTAATTCCGCGAATAATATGCGACGTTGGCATGTCGCAGTTGTGTTGCAGAATAATTTTTCGACTAATAGTCGCAGTTCATTCGCCTAACAAAAATAATTATTTAATGGGCGACAGACCGCGATTGACCGAATCGTACATCGAATCTCCGAATATTCATCGTAGAACAGTCGCATAATTTAACTCATAATTTTCTCGCCCATGCTCATACCTATCGCCTATTTAGCGCATAGTTCATCGCATATGTCTTCGTACTTTTTGGGGTGAAAAACTTAGTTTTTTATTGGGTGGTGTGAAAAACTTAGTATGACTTCAGAACGGGGTGAAAATAGCTATTTCCTCTTTTATTTACCGAAAATCAGAATATTTTTTTTTTCAAATTTATTTCAAAAACAATTTTGGGTGCTACTCCTTTTCAAAACAACATCAATACTTTTCAATTTCTCAATATTACAGCAATCATTAATCCTCAAATATATAAAATAAAATCCCAATATTGTCAATATCACGGGGAAAACATTTCCTGTCAATAATTCAACAATAATAAAAGCAATAATCAATAATTCAGTTTATAGCGGAAGCAAAACATTTATTTTGACCACCACTCGCCTCCCTCTGTCGTGCCCGCAATACTAACATGTATCCATGAAGAGCAGGTGGGGATGAGCACAAGAGGAAACCGTAGTGCTCACCACTATGCAGTAAACGTTATTCACAATAATGAAACAGTAATCAATAATCAATAAAGTATGGTCTCAGCATGTATACGAATCAATAATCTATCTCATTCTCCATCAATAATATCAATACTCAATAATCAAGACTCATGTGTACACACCTATCATTAGCTACTGTTGGTCTATTCGAAAGCATCGCCATGTGTCTTACATCGTCATCCAACAGTAGGAGTACATGTCGAAGGCATCGCCATGTGTCTTACATCGACATTCATTTCGAAAGCATCGCCATGTGACTTACATCGACTAACATATCGAAAGCATCGTCATGTGACTTAAATCGATATGGCCCATCGTGGGTCTTAGGGGGAAAAATCTTATCAAGGAGACAATCGTTCGACGGCCGGTACAACTCACATCGAAGGCTACATGGTCCACATGCATACTTTGATCATACCACAACAATTATTAATAACATTTACAGCATAGCCAATTTTTCAAAACCCACCTGGTCGAAAGCGAGAGCAAAACACACAAAAGCAAGTACGTAGGTCGAGGGCTCGACTCCTCAAACACCTACATTTAAGCGAGATAATATATCAATAATCTATCTTACTTCACAAATTTAATAATAAACCCACACTTAATCAAAATTAAGGTTTAAGGGTTTTAATCGGATTTTTCGTGGACTTGGAACTCTCTCATTTTTGCAAAATAGGACTCGAAAAATTAATTTGGAGTCTCGGGACATAAAATAATTTTCTCAAATTTTTCTACTTTGAAAAAAAATTTAAAATTAAAATCGGTATTAAAAACGGGATTCCGGAACTCAAAATAGGCTTAAAAAGACAACTGGGCCGAGCTGCCAAGGTTCTGGGCTAATTGGGCCGCACAAAGAGAAAGTTGGGCCGGAAATTTGGGCCTGACAAGGGCTAGGGAAACGCGGGCTAGAGGGAGAGATGAGATCGGGCCGCGCGGGCTGGTTTCGGGCCTTACGGGCTGCGCATTACTGGGGGCAGATCGGGCTGAGGGAGTGGTTTCTGGGCCGAACGAAATGACTGCTACAATTGGGCCAAGGCAGATGCTGGTTGTGTGGCAAAATAAATAAAATGGGTTGTTGGGAGGGGGATTCGAACACAGAACCACACATAAAAAAACATCCACAGGGAAGACCACTGCGCCAACTGCTTGGATGCAAACTTATTTGAAATCAAATATTACTCAATGAAAACAAAGGCCTGCGATTAGAAACAAAAGAACAGAACCGAGGACCTAATAACAGGAGCTGAGAAGTTGCGAGCAGACTGCCAGAATTTCCCCCAAACTCGACAATGACATTACCAACGACAACCGGGTCAAGAATATAAGACGTTTACAAAAATAACACATTTACAAAGTTCCGAAAAACATTAAAAACCGGTTCCAAAGGGTCAAAAGTCGAAACGACAAAACGTAGTTTGACAACAAACGAATAACACACGACGACGACAAGGCTCGAAACAATAAATTGAGACTCCGAACTTATACACATATATCACGGCAACATTATGATACTCGCTTTTACGAAATCGAGAGTTCCAATCATTCCCGAAATAATCCACGAACATTACGAAATAAATAACAACATATGAATCGACAAGTAAACCGAATTCGAAACCCAACGAAATGATTCAACGCGAACAAAAATAAACGTACGATATCATCCTGAATAATACTTTACGAGGATGTTTGGAAAGGTTACCCGTCTTAAAAAATCTGCGAGAAATCGGAAAACAGACGAGACGATCGGAAGCCTTGAAACTCGAGACCTTTGGAATACGGGGAACGTGACTGCTGTTGTCCTCAGACGGCTCGATCTCCCTGCTGAGTGCACGTCGGAGTCGAACTGTAAATTCTGAATCGCGACAAAGCAGTGGACAAGTTGCCGGAGCTAGAAGGACTTCGCTGGAATTAATGGAGGTCTCGGCTATGGCAGACGGCAACTGGTCGGATGCTTCTCTAGACAACGGTCGCTCCTTGCTGATCGGGGACGAATGGTTGCTACTCAAGGAAGACGGCCGACGGCGGTTCTGCTAAATTGGCTCGCCGGAGAAGACGAACAGGCGGGTTAAAATTTTTATTTATTTTTTTTGAAAGCAGGTAGCGATTTAGAGATAACAGTGAGAGAGAGATAGATGGACTTCTGGTTTTCTAATGTTATAAAGAGACGGGAGAGGGGAGAACGTGCGGAGGATCTCACGATCAAATCGGAACAGAATTTCGAACATAGAGCGGATGTGGGAGGACTCGATCAGTTCACGCGCAGAACAAGAAACTTAAAGCCGAGCGATAAACTCTTGGGCTCGATATTAATTAACTGATCGGGCCTGGAAATTAATTGGACAACTGTGCCAAGGAAATCCTAACTCAAATTGGGCCAAAATCAGTAGAAGAGTTGGGCCAGAAATTAATCAGTTGGGCTGGGAAATAATTTAATCGGGCTAAATAAAATACAATGCGATAATAAAAAAAATTTCGAACGATTCGATAGACGACGATAAACAAATGCACGACTTATAATATATATATATATATATATATATATATATAAATATATATATATCACACAATATTTATTAGATAATAATAAGCAATTTATAACACTTAAACAAATAATAAGAATAATAATAATAACAATGTAATATTATTAATTCCAAAATATTCATAAACAACCGGATATATATATATATATATATATATATATATATATATATACAATACACATTTTATTTAATAATAATATTAGGCAATTAGACAAGTAATGATAAATAAACACGCAATAATAATAATAATAATAATAATAATAATAATAATAATAATAATAATATGGCAAATAATAATAGCAATAATTAATCAATAATTATTCTCAAATAATCCATAATCAAACGGGGTATTACAATGTAGAAACTATATATGCTATTAGTGATTTTTGAACAGCAAGAAATTGTCGAAGTATGAAAGTATTATATTATTTAGATGGTGACTTAATATATAACATTGCTATTGTCATATTTGGCCGAACGCTATACTACTCAATGAGACAAGAGGTTTGCTAATAAAGATTTGTACATGTTTAGTCTCGGCTTAAGTGGTTGAGTGAGAGTATTGTTTTAATTGATGTTATATTACATCAATTTAAATGTAACATCCATGTAATTGTGGTATTGTTCTATTCTTATCTCCATTAGGTATGGAGTTATGATAGTGAGGCTTTGAAGTCTTCATTGAATGAAAGTTGTATCATATCAAATATAAATATGATGCATTGTGCATATTGAAAAGAGACAATACAAGACAAGAAAACGTCTCGGATTTTAGAGCGTGGAGGATACTAACGGCGCTCGTAGCCGTCAAATAAAAAAAA